ATTTGTTTCTTAGGGTTTTATGCACATCACTCATTTCATCATCAACAAAAGTCTGACGAAGCAGACCTGAAAAGGCTGCGATACGTCAATAAATAAATAAAGTTTCGTACATTAACCCGTTAAAACTAGTTATACTTATATTCTTTTTTAAAAACAAGTGTTCGTTTAGAGACTAATGTAAAATTTGTCACTTACAATGTCTACGTACTAGTCGCGATGTAAGTGAAATTAAATCTACATTATATTTAGGCCATTCTCATTTGTAATTCTGCTGGCGTACTTAATGAACTCTAATGTGCTACTATATTATTAAATCTAGACACAGAATAAAATTACCATTTCATATTACTGTAGTATAAGGCAATAAGTCAATTAAGGTCCCTAGCTAAATAATGACGGGAAATACATTCGGGTAAGACATGTCATTGAATGATGTATTAATTAAGGTTTTGTAAACTCACTGATGTGTACATTTTATACAGAAATTATTTTGCTAAAATATTGTTAATTAAAGAACTTAACTATACACTAGATCTATTTACATCATTACATTCAACATATGAAATGAATGAATATAAAAATGTATATAGGTATTTTGTGGACATCGTTTGGAGGAGTTTTTACATATCTTAATATATATAAATCTCGTGTCACAATGTTTGTCCTCAATGGACTCCTAAACTACTGAACCGATTATAATAAAATTCGCACACCATGTGCAGTTCGATCCAACTTGAGAGATAGGATAGTTTAAATCACAAATTATAGACGCAATTTTAATTTATTGCAAATTATTACTTTTGGGCGGTACGAAGTTCGCCGAGTCAGCTAGTCTTTATATATATAATTCTTCTGTGAGTGTGTATGTCACTGAACTTCTCTTAAACGACTGGACCGATTTTGATGAAATTTTTTGTGTGTGTTCAAGGGGATCTGAGAATAGTTTAGATTCACAATTTTGTCCGCTGCACAACCCCTATTTTTTTAGGGCGGTACGAAGTTCGCTGGGTCAGCTAGTATACTATATAATTATAAATATTTCGTCTCTTAAGTTAAACAAACTCTAATCTATGGATGGTCGTGGAAATCATGATCCACAACATGAGGTATAAGTAGTAACCAAACTAGAATAAAATAGAAATTCTTGAGGCGCCATTAGTGGTGTTCGCAAAATTTTCGAGTTTTAATTATCACATCCTAAATTATATTTGCATCTTGTGTTACATTTTAGTTTCCTTGAATTCTTTAATTAAAAATCAAATACTATAACAAAACAGGTTTAATATTAATTTCAAATGATCTAAAATTGCGTGACTATAGATCATTAGGAGACGTGTGTCAAAATTATACGAAGACCTCGGGCGAAAATTCAAATTGCGTACCGGACGAAAATAAATAATGCAGGTATCCGTCCGTAATATCATGGACCGACTAGGATTCAATTCGTAGATCAAAATGATGGTTATGACATTTATCATAGTAGTGTATATTTTTTTTATACCATCAGAAAGTAGAGATTTCAACAAACAAAAAACACCCCAACTTTTTTAACGTGAGAATTTTCGATTGAAAATTAGGGTGCTTTTTGGATATTAAGTCAAAATAAGGTGAAAAAATTAATATTTTAAATCAAAAAAAATACTATATGTTTGGGACATACAAAGGTAAGTTTTCACCAAATTTCGTGAAAAAATATTATTTTTTGCAAAAAATAAAAATCAAAAACCAAAAACTCGGTAATTCGCATTTTTCACATAAATTTTGAGGTTATGTGAAAAAAGTGTCGATACAAAAGTTGTAGATCTTTTTATTACCTACAACTTTGTCATTTAACTTTTTTTCATAGGACTTGCAGTTTTACCGGAAATCGAGATTAACCATTCTTTACCCTTAAAAACTCACCCCCTCCCCCTTCCCGACCTCAGATCGCCCGTAATTTATTTTTCCTTTCATTTTTGTTATATACTCTACCTTTTCTAATGGGTTTCATCCTACTATAATTTTTTTTTCACTTTTCACCATTTTTAAAATTATCGACCCTGGTCTAATAGTTACATTAAAATTTTCAAAACCAACCTTGTGTTGTTACTTGGTATTCTACGTTTTATATTATAATATAAGGAAGGCTCCAATAGTGTCGAAGACAGACCTGTACGAAGCTTTGTTTACCCTTACTTTCTCTAAACACACAGCTTTAGGCATTTGTTTGTTAAAATAATAAGCTTGGTGGCGTCCGACGTTATTCTAATTCGCATGATTTGTACGTGGAAAACGTTACGGATACCAGGGGAAGTTTCACCGCGCGGCGGCGACACGCAGCGGTCATTTGCTGCGCGATTATATCGGGCCGTGTAATGCGTGCGCAGTGCCATGTACAGTCGTCGAGAATACATGCGCGGACAAACATCACATTATATATACGACTGGAACAGCTTTAGGAGCTAGTAAATTTTATACATTTTAAACATTTCTTCTTAACAAAATTATATTTTTAAATTAGCAGCGGGTTGTTTTTACTAAAATAAACATCAGACTTGTTTTCTGTACTGTAGATCTATATAACTTGAAGAACGAAGATACACTAAGTTGTTCGTACCCTACCAATGTACACAATTGCACTAGTTCAATTAACAATCACATTTGCTGTTAGACAACATCTTTATTTTTTTATGCTTATTATTTGTAGATATAGAGGTTATATAAATACACATACTGCGGAAATTTACCTATTTATGACAGATAGAAGGACAGACAACGGAAGCTAAATAATAGGGATTAGTGTATGGAAACCTAAAAAATACCTGTTAAGGTCTCGGAAGCTCAATTGAGACACTAGTCACAAAGATAATATGTTTCATACTTGAGGCAAGTATTTTTTTCCCCTTAAAATTTCTTAAGACATAATAAATAGATATAAGCCTTATCTGTAGTACACATTCCGGCTTCTAATATCATATCTAGCGTCTCTATCATCGGGCATATCATGTTCCTAGGTATTACTAGCTACAGTCTGGTAGCGGACTAATCGCTGCCCGGGGTCAAAGCGTGTATCTCTCGGCCCTCCACGTTTATTATAATAAGCCCTGGTAGCCATTATAGCGTTTACCCATCGCCCTTTATACATTTACCGGGATTGTGTTACAATAACGGAATTATTTTCGCATTAAATACATCGTCAAAGTTGATGTTTCACTCGGAAAACTCTAGGCTCTCGCTGTGTTCAGGTAATTCACACGTAAGTGACTCGCGCAATCGTCATAACGTTAGTGCGACGTAATAAAGAAAACCGACTGACTTTATTCAGAGGCTTTATTACCATTAAGAAGTTTTTATGCCAAGAAATTTTGTTCGCTATTTGTTTTTTAATTTTTTCGTTTGCTCAAATTGTTGTACTTTAGTATATCCCTGGCGGCGTTAACGAAATGTTAGAGAAGTGAACATTTAAATATTATTTAAATTAACTTACAATATAAAAAAAAGAATAGATAATTCAAAAGAGTTGTAGTAAATATTAATTCCAACACTCACATCAATTAGCCTAGCCCTATACTAGGGTAACGGATAGAATTCATATACAGAACATATATAAGTATATGTATATAGAAATACATATTAAACATCCATGACTGGAGTACAAATACTCTTTTTCATCACACAAGGAATTTCCCCCACCACGATTCGAACCCGGGACCTCTTGAGTCAGCGCCACCATGAAACTCGGCGTACAAACCACTCGGCCACGGAGGTCGTCAAAAAATAATTATGCTTCATATTTGAAAAAAGAGTTTTGACTTTTACGTACGTACGTAAACTGCAAAGTTTTTATGAAAGATATTGAGTTAAGTTAAAAATTTGCCAAGCGAGGACTCAGGCCCACTTGCGCTTAAGTATAACACACCTTACCTACCTTTTTTCAGTTGTTTAAAGTCAGATAGAAATAGAACGAGGCTTAAACATGACAAGCTTTTCAATTTAATTAAGAACTTTGGTGCAAGTAACTCTTAGTTGGTTTTGTAGTCAGTTCTAACATCCACCTAGATCCGGTGATTTCTACACGAACAAAGAGATTTTGAGACTAATTTTTTGTGATGGAAGTGGAATTCTTTGCCCGCGCATGAATGCTCTCCTTCCTACAGTCGGGAGTCTTTCAAAGGAGGCGTAAAGAAGCATTTGTGTAGGCCGGCAAAATGAGGATGGCTGGTGTGGTAGTTAAAAACTACCTTCGCGTCTAGATTTTATAGCAACTGAACATCAGGGGGGCTGGGATCGTTTGCCTACCTAATTATAAAAAATATCGCCACCTAGTCAGCACGTGTCTGGCATGAGTTTAAATAAATGTATGTAACGGCTTCAAAATTTGTTGCGCAGCAACGAAAATATTTTTCCTTCTTCTCTGACTGCTTAATTTGACCAACTAGGGCACTTTTTGGATGAAAATTAGAGCAATATTTCCTCATGCTTGACTCTTCTTTCTGATCTATTACTGTATTTTTTATTTGTTACTGTACTTTATATAGCTGGCTTTCATATTTACCATGTTAATATTAACATTTTTACCTACATATAAACCCGTTTTCCACCGCCAAATAGGAATGAACTAGAGTGTTTAGCCGAGTAGTTTTCGTGTACATAAAATAGGATTACTTTTCCGATGAGACAGAGTTTGTGACTATTGATTCTCATTTCGCTCGTTTTTACTCTTTTTGCCTTCTTTTGTCATTTTCGCTCCACTCTTCCTTGGTGGAAACAGACGTATGCATTTTTGCATTGCGAGGTAAGCGAAGTCATTAATGGGATAACACCGCTCGCGGTGAAAAAGCGCTTTGCTTCTTTTACAATTCGCTAGGCCACAGTTCTTTCATTGGCAACTTTGGGCTAAAAGAAATTTTAACCCAAAGTTGCTTTTTGATGTTGTGTTTCTGTTTATAGGTATAACTGGTACATCATTTGTACAGTAAAGTTAATTCATTCGTTTATTTGTTTTGTTTATCAAGACTTACCTATTAGCGCTTGGACGTGGTAACTGGGAATGATCTCATTGGCGGTAGACAGCTTGGCGGCGGTGTTTGTACTCTGTAAAAGAAAGAGAGAGAAAACTTTTATCAGTGACCCCGATAAACAGATGCTCGTAGGATAGACGGAGCAGGCTCGTTAATGACAGTGATTGACGAAACCAAATAATGACGGTTGTTAACAAATAATAAGGCGGAATTGCGAGAAGCTAATTTCATCGCCATCTGATTCAGGGTTACGAAACTTTTATACCCACTACGTCACAAAAATATTGTTCCATTGCTACGAAGTTGCTTGCGAGCAATTATTTCATGGCGTCCGTTGAGAAATCGATACTGAATTAGTCGCATCGTGAGCCTGCCCCACAGATCCGATTCTTGAAATCGCCCATCGAGAATTAATTGCATAATCTTTGACCTGTTGCCAAATGTAAGCGAGCCCTTCTTTGTGCCTCGCTGCTCCAGGTTCAATATAGGTGATTCACTGGATTGCAAAATTTGCGACCCACGTCTGGTTTTTTATTATTATTTATTACAACGATATTTAATATATATTATAACAATAAAATGTCAATGCTGAGAACTGTAAATTTCAATTTAACGACCGAATTTATTAACTCATAAAGTGAAACAGATTATGATAATATCTTTTTGTTTGTAATATCTTCTTGTATTATACATATTAAATTATATAAAAAAGTTTAAAGGATTCCTATATAAACAGTTTGTCGTAATAATTAAAAATAGCTTTCTGCATAGATAACAAGAACAATCTTAGCAATCACCAATACCTATTCAAGTACCATAAACTTATATTTATATTTTTAAACTCTCACACCATTTAGCCTAGCCCCAAAGTAAGAACTGTAAGGCTTGTGTTACGGGATGCTAGGGTAACGGATAGAATACATATACGAACTGTAAGTATATTTATATAGAAATACATATTAAACATCCATGACTGGATCCTACGGGGATTCCAACCCGGGACCTCTCGAGTCGGCGACACCATGACCCGGCGTACAAACCATATGGCTACTGAGGTCGTCAAAATTTAATTTTAACGTAGGTGTTATAGGTTTTATATACGATAAGCGAACTGTTTTCAAAAATTTTACGATATCGACACGAAAACTATCCAAGTTATTAAAACGTCCAAAATTGTGAAAAACTCCCCTGCCAAGATGTTAACGAACAAGATGTTAACAGCTACAAAACAACTACAATCTGACGCTGGATGTGCTTCAGGGCCCTTGCGACACACCATTGTCTTTTTGTAGTTATGTTCTTAACTATTATATGAGATTCACTATAATTTGGGCGAAATTAATTTAGTAGTGAGCGACAGTTGCACTCGACAAATTAACTGAAAAAAAAAATCGAATTGAACTGACGTTTGAAAATCCAATAACTTTTTTTTTAATCAATGTTACCAGGCGAAAATAATTGAACTTTTTTAATTTGTTTCTTTAACAGTAGGTATAAGTTATGATTTTATTTATTTTTTAAGCATTTAACTGCTAGATGTTTAAATCTAAAGAAAAGTTTACTAGAAAAAAATCCACGCGGACCAGGCAGCGGACGGGACTCGAACCCGCATCCTTCGCTATCCGGGCGAATGCACTGACCATTATGTTACCACGGCCCTATTAGCCGCGTCGAAATTTTCCTAGCCTTAAGCTGCAAGGCAGCGCCATCTCTTCGCATTGTAGGAAGGATGCGGGTTCGAGTCCCGTCCGCCGCCTGGTCCGCGTGGATTTTTTTTCTAGTAAACTTTTCTTTAGTAGGTATAAGGTTAAAATTTTTACGAATTTTATACTTACATTATAAATATTGTTTTTTAACTTCAAACAATGGACGCGCTCGTCTAACGTATATTATAATGATACAGTACTGAACGAATTTCGAAGTAAGTACCTATGTTTGAATGGGTTCATGAAGTAGAGTCACTATGGATTGGTTAATCAGATAAAACATAATATTCTTAAACCGTATTAGATAAAAGTTTTGCATTTCAATAAAAGAATTGATGAATCATTGCTCTTTTGATTAAATACTTTTTATTTAATCAAAAGAGCAATTTTCTACGTTCACGAGTTAATTTTTTTAATTTATATTGCTTAAATCGGTTTATGAGTGTTCGATGAATTCACGTTATGATATTATTAGAAGTGAATTATATATTAGCTTGTTTTAATGTAAGGCAGTATAAGCCATATCAATTTGTTACGGTATGGTCATAAACATGCCTCACTCGCTGCAATAATTATTAGTATAGAAAAACAGCAGTGTTCTGTGGCTGTATTGATTTAGGTTTTTGAAAAGTATGATTATGTTTCTGATTTCGTTAAGATTTCAAAATTGAATTTGGAATGCTCTGGAACAGTGAACCTTGGACCTTTGAGAAATTCTGGGTTCATGCTGTTGAAAATATGATACAACCTAAAAATATTAAGGATTTCGTTTTTTTAAAGTGATGTTACCGAATTGATTGTTTTGAAATAAGATTATTATTTATATAAGAGATTAAATGATGATAAGTTTTAAGTATTCGTCACTAACGTCCGCACGCAAAGATGTCTCATAATTTTGATCTTATGTAATAAGCAAAGCATTAAAGCGATTTTTTAATCGTCTGGATTAAACAAGTTTTTAATAAAGAAAGACATGTAGGTACCTGTCCCTACACACCGGTGCACCCAACCTCGATATTGACATAAAGTGGCGATTATTAAAAACCCATTATTTATGTGGATCATTCCATTAAGATTACGTAACTTTCCTTGATGAGAGCTGTTTAAGACATCATGTTAAGTAACTGAAGCAAGGCCGTAGGAAAAAATCGAGTGGCTCGTTTATACAAAATATTATGGTAGTACAAAGATTATAGATGATTCAACGGCAATTATGCGGCCGCGAATGGAGGTCCAGGCGAAATTACAATAATTAAGATGTTGCAGTTGGCCTGCTCTCAAATAGCAGTTTTGTGACGGTTTATTTGCTCGCATTGCATATGTTAGTTGAGTTTGTATGCCATGTGGGAGATATGATGTCATGGTTATCGTAATGGTCCGTACACATATACCCCATTATTAATAAACGAAGAACAACCATGAATTTGTTACTCCATGTTTTGTCTCTGTTCATCGAATTACAAATGGCATTTGAGTGATATGTGTTGTCTCAAAATGTTTTAGCTTTTAAAGATTTGATTACCCAGGGGTGTATTATATGACATCCCAAATTACTACGTTTGTGGATGGGAGGCCCACATTCACATAGAAGGTGTTTTGATGTTTCGCTACACACGGAGTAACTAGTCTAAGCTTATCATCAGCCTATTAATGTCCTCATTGCTGGGGCACAGGCCTTCCCTATGGATGGAATAGGGAGATTGGGACATGACCCACCACGCGGGCCCAGTGCGGATTGGTGAGTGCTAACGACTGCAGATGCAGCCAGGACCAACGGCTTAACGTGCCTTCAGAAGCACGGAGGAGCTCGAGATAATAAATTTTTGGTCACCCATCCAATGACCGACCACTACGAAAGTTTCTTAACTTCAACGATCGCAGCCGAACGCGCTAACCACTTGTGCTAGCTCCTCGAGTCTAAGCTTATTTCTCGTTTATTAATAATGAGGTTAAGGTCTTACTATATAGTTTTACTCTAAGGTGAGTAAAAACAAAGCGTCGCATCCTACGAACGAGCCGTCGAGTTGTGAGTTTTTACGGTTCACTCGTTGATTTTAGAGTAAAACTGTCCAGTTATACCTTATGAGAGTACGGGCCATTAGAATTTATATTATCTATCTTCAACATAGATTCCTTTAAGAGAGGTAGAACATTGCAGATTTTCCGCTCTAATTAAAGGGTTTTTTTTTTAATTAAGATTCTGGGTTTCACGTGGTATAAGATTCAGACCAGCCGTGCTATTTTGTAAGGAAAAAAAACAAAATTTTCACCGCGGACTTGAATTTATTTGAAATTCGTGTTCCAATTTTAAATCACACCGTGGATTGCGAGGTACAAAGTGAATTTGTTCTTACAAAATAGCAATCCAGAGGCGAGAATCGCTTTCTCTAGTGGCACATTTTTCTTTCGTATCAGCTATCATCATCGAGGTAATTGGCTGCGCATCGTATAAAAAGGTGATAATACAATAATTGCGCTTACTATCCGTAACAAAACACTTTTTTGTCTTCCGGTCAATAGTATCACTTTAAGACTTTAGTAGACTTTGTAACGTCGATTTTTCTTGGGTTAATTTTTGGTTAAATCTGACAGAAGAATATATTATACATTAGTAGAATTATTGTTATTATTCTAAAGTATTTACTTGGGTAAAATTAGTAACATAATTTATCTTTTTACGTATTTTAGTTAACATCTCATAACTCTTTTAATGGCAACGATAAGGATAATGTTAACCTTTTGTGTAGATGATATTTTTTCTTTTGGAACAGACATGTTTATGTAGTCGTATTAACTATATGTAAATATATTATTTAAATTGCCACTACAGGATTTTGGAACAATCAAATAGTCTTACACTATTTTTTACATGAGTCTTAATCTTAAGGTTGCATAAATATTTTGGATTAATTATTTTATTTACGTTGAAATTACACACGTCTAGACTTTTGATCATGTGGACTTGACTCCTAAAATTTTCATTGCGTATTTTCGATATATCTTAATATCGAAAATAAGCAATGAAAATTTTAGGAGATGCAAGTAATAAAAGTGTGATGTTCAGTCATTAACATCTGTAACGGGACATTTGTTATGTCCCGTGTTAAATCAAATACAATATAAAAGTATCAGTACGCCAAAACTTTGTGGTTATTGCCACACGACGTTTACGAGCGGTGTTTAAGTAAGGTCCTTATTTGTGTTTCGGATTTTTTATAACTTTTGAAAGTGATTTCTGTGGGTTATGCAAACTGCTTTATGAGGTTCGTGTGTCGGCGTAAAATCATTTCATGCGATTGCAAGTTAGGGACAGTTTTGGGAGCGATAAAGAAGAGGCAGGTCCAATGAAGTCATAATATTTAGCCAA